TAAGGGAACCTTTCCCTTTTGCAGAAAAAGATGAACCACTTGCATACATTTATGATTTTAGAGAGAGGTTAGAGAGAAAAGTTGCAGAAAGAAGAAGAAGAGAAGGAGAAGAAGGAGAAACCAAGAAGGAAGGGATTTCTCATAAATCCCCCATCTCTAGTTTTCTTCCCCTTTCTTCCATGTATCTTCATCTCCCCTTGCAAGGTCATGTCACGTCGAGGTATTACAGAAGAAAAAATTGCAAAATCCGATCCAATTTATCGTAATCGAGCATTTATTTGTGTTAATTATGCTTTGAACTTTATCTCTCCATATGCTTGTCTTGATTGCATAGTTAGGGTTTGATTGAGAAGGTTGTGGATTTGAGTTGTTTGACATGGTTAGTGTAGATGAATGATCTAGGGGCCTAATTGGTTGTCGAGATGATCATCCCCTGCCAAGTAGGATGCCCACCAAGGTAATGCTAGGTCGATACGTGTGTGACAATTGACATATCGAACTAGTGTGCAGATAGGTGAAACCTAGTCAAAGGGAATATTTTGTATCCCTAGTTTGTGAACCTGACTGTAGTGAGAATAGTGTAAGCGGATCAGATTAGGAGTGGGCTAGTTGCACGGCTATTAAGCTAGTCCCCACAGTAATGAGTGTCACACTTTGTTCCCCACAAACCAACAAAGTTATCCTTTTGCATGATAGGCCTAGTATCCTGGGTGAGGGGTGATGCCCCGAGTACCTGGGCTTTATCTCTGCTTTCGTCACCAGTTATTGTAACACCCCCGAGTTTGGGTCTTCAATTCAATTAAGGTTCGACCGACGAGTCGGAGGACTGTAGGAAATGGTAAAGCGATTGAGGAAGGAAGAACATGCTAGAACAATGGCCGAAACACGACCGTGTTTCTAGACCATGTTTGATCAGGTGTGTCGTGTAGACGAAGCCAAAATGAATCAGCAGAGATGTAGAGGTTTGAACACGGTCAGTGAACATGCCCGTGTCTCTAGACCGTTTTCAATTAAATGCTTGTCTTGGTTAAAACATATGATTTGTGTCGGTTATAACCTACACTAATTTTTTTTGTGTCGGTTCACTAAACCATCACGAAAGTAGCCGACACTAAACAAATTTGTGTCGGTTTTGGACAACCGTCGGAGTAACCGACTCAAAATAATTTTTTGCATCAATTTTAACCGACTCTAATCTTCTCGGTAAAATTTATTTTTATAATTAAAAATTTTATTTGTGTCGGTTTAACCGACCCATTATAACCAACTCTAATTTTTCAGCATATTTGGAAAAAAAAAATTGGTCGACGACCATCAACGTCCACTATTTTTTCCCAGCCAGTGACGGACGGCCATTGCTCCCACCCAGCTGGGGACGACCACTGCTCCTTTCCAGCCGATGACGACCACTACTTTCCTCCATGATATTCGGCTTTAATATATCGGATTCTTGGACTTTATGTGATTATCCGTGGTATGTTTTAGCCAATTGGTGCTATGTTAGGGATCGCTAACCCGGAAATGGTTGAAAAACCATTACTGCCTAGTGCCATGAGTTTGATATGATGCAGGTGGAGAAAGCACGAAAAAGGAGCGAGTGCATAAGCAATAAATCGGGCTCGAACTATTGGGGACGGAACTCTTGGGACAAGAAAGGGGCCAAAGCCCATTGGAGAGCACGTTCTCCACCACGCCTTTGGGGACCTTTACTGATCGATCAGCCAGCTGTAGAGTAATTCGAGTCGGTTTGATCACATCTTGGAGTCCCAGCTTCTTATAAACAGAATATCAGTCAAAACATTCAAACTCATTGTGAAGAACCATGCAATTCAACACTAGTGGGGTGATTTTGATGATTTCATTCAAGCACAAACTCATTTCACACGCATCACAATCATTTACATCATGTTACCACAAGAGTACAAGGTTTTGTTTTTATCAATTCAAAGCTAGTACCAAAAGTCGAGAAGTCATCCATGAAAACTTCAAGACTCGATTCTAACATGTCAGAGAATATGGCAGTCATGCACCGCTGAAAGGTTGCTGGTGCATTATCGTCTCTCAGGGACTGGTACAACCTTATGATTTATCAATTCTTTCGAGCAAACTATATGTGAAAATGTTTAAGAGATTAAATTATTAACTAAAAGCAAAATTAACTAAACTAATTACGAATCGGTCAGTATAGCAGAAACAATCACAGGTAAAGTGGAGTTTTCCCCCAGATATGCATACTTAAGGTGACTAGGCAATGGTTTTAGTTCCAATTCCGGAGGCTGGATCCGAGATGGAACCATTTTCTCTGGAAACTTAGCCTTTTCATCACCTTCCACCTGCATAGGCAATCGTCAATTGCCAATCGCACTGCTGCTCGCTGCTCTTGCTCCTGAGCCCTTCTGCTTTTCTCCCAGAATTCTCTATCCATTAAAAGTCAGACTCTTCCCTTTTATTCCTTCCGTCCGCCCATCATTCCAAAGCCGCCCAGAAATTGGATAATCTTGGCCCGGCCCAAGATATCATGGCCGCCCATCAAATTCCGTCCGTGTCCAATGCTGCGCCTGCTGTCTTTTTTTTCTCTCAAAAGAGATTCCTTTTTTTTTTCTTTCTCGCCAAAGAAACCAGCCCAGCCTCCCAACTAATTCCTTCCAATCAAATTCCGCCTCCTCAATAATTGCTCGCCAGCAGCATTTTCATGGCCCTTATAATGGGCCCAAATCTCCACAAAAGAGCCAGCCACCCAAAAAGTTTAATGGATAGAGAATTCTGGGAGAAAAGCAGAAGGGCTCAGGAGCAAGAGCAGCGAGCAGCAGTGCGATTGGCAATTGACGATCAATTTTTCAGCAGCTTGAGCCGAATTCAACGAGAGCGATTCCAAAGCCCATTGGAGTTCTCTTTTTGGGTGGCTGGCTCTTTTGTGGAGATTTGGGCACTCGCTCCTTTTTCGTGCTTTCTCCACCTGCATCATATCAAACTCATGGCACTAGGCAGTAATGGTTTTTCAACCATTTCCGGGTTAGCGATCCCTAACATAGCACCAATTGGCTAAAACATACCACGGATAATCACATAAAGTCCAAGAATCCGATATATTAAAGCCGAATATCACAACCCCACACGTATGCATATCTGGGGGAAAACTCCACTTTACCTGTGATTGTTTCTGCTATACTGACCGATTCGCAGGAACAGGAGCTCTTGAAGGTCTTACGTCAGCACATACAGGCTTTAGGCTGGACAATTGCCGACATCAAAGGCATTAGTCCAACATTTTGTATGCATAAGACGAGCCCTGATCGAACGATCCTGTTCAGCCATGATGACAGGCTCGATGACGCGCGGCGGTGGTGTAGGTGGTGTAGGGATGACAGGTGGTGTCACCTGCCTTCTCGGTTGACGATTCTGAGTTAGGGAAGGCCTAGGAGGTCCAAGCCCTCCGTCCAGGCACAACGGAGACTAAACCCGCACATGAAAGAAGTGGTTCATAAGGAGGTAATGAAACTATTGGATGCAGGTATTATTTGCATTCCCTAGCAGAGAAAACGAGAACATCCGAAGACGGATTGCATCATCAGACACAGTCGGGCTCTTCATAGTGTCACAAATGTTTGCAAACCGGCGGAGATGTTCATGAGGATCCTCGGTGCTGGCCCCTGAGAAGGTGTACCCATTAGTGATCATATTGATGAAGGCTGGGGCAATCTTGCTTGCTGTGGTGTTTGCTTTTGATAAATTTCGATCTTATTTGATGGGATCGAAAACAGTTGTGTACACTGACCATGCTCGACGGGCAAGTGGCAAGCTTTTCCAAACACCAATCTGTATGGAGACATGCCTAAAGGAGTCTTGAAAGCAGTCCGGTATGCCCAGAGTGCATCATCTAACTTCCTTGCCCAATCTTTCCTTGTTGAATTCACTGTCGTCTCCAGAATGTGTTTCAGTTCTCTGTTGGAAACCTCCACTTGCCCACTGGTTTGTGGATGATAGGGTGTAGCAACTCGATGCTTAACCCCATATCTGGCCAGCAACGTGTTCAACTCCTTTCCCATGAAGTGTGTGCCCTCGTCACTGATGAGAACTCGAGGGACTCCGAATCTGGTGAACACGTTCTTCCTCAAGAAATTCACCACCGTCTTTGAGTCATTGGTGGGCAACGCCACTGCCTCCACCCACTTGGATACATAGTCGACTGCGACTAAGATATATTTGTTGTTGAAAGACGGTGGGAATGGCCCCATGAAATCCACTCCCCATCCAATGGGCTTTGGCCCCTTTCTTGTCCCAAGAGTTCCGTCCCCAATAGTTCGAGCCCGATTTATTGCTTATGATTTATCAATTCTTTCGAGCAAACTATATGTGAAAATGTTTAAGAGATGAAATTATTAACTAAAAGCAAAATTAACTAAACTAATTAAGCAAAGTAAACTTGTCGAGGAAAATTCAATGGGAGAAAGCTCTGGGAGAAACACCGGGATTCACTACCTATCCTATCCAGACTAATTCACATATTCCAATCAATTTAATCAATACCTCTACAGCCAGGATATCACTACTGTGCTAGCTATCCCTGTCGGGAATTACTACGTACTAAATAATCAATTCAAATCCTACTGTCGTAGCTCAATGAATTAACTATATAGCCTGAAGATCGATATCCTATTTAAGACCGCATAGCACCTTATTTAATCCACTGTCGCTTCGATAAGTTACTATGTCACATGAAATATGTTCAGTTAATAGGGTTTCACTGTCGCTAATAACCTAATTAACTACAAATCGTTGTATTGGTGGCCAGTCAACACAAAGCATTAAGCAATTTCATGCAATAGAGATAGGAAGAAAAGAATCATGAATCACTCCACTTGCCGACGGATGCTGCTCATGGATCTTGATGGAGAACTGGATCTACGGTGGCCAAAATCGAGAACAGACCTCGTCGTCGCATATTGTAAGGAAAGAGAAATTAACACCAGCGAACTGTCTTCCTCCTCGTGTCAGGGACGATGGAAGCTGGAGATGCTCGACTAATCTGCTTCAGGCACCGAGCGAACTATGCTCGTCACCGTCTCGGGGTCCTCACTCGTCACTCCCCTGTCCTTTTCGTCATTGCTTCAGCTTTTGCCAGCAATCATCCCTCCTTGTGGCAGCGATCGAGTCTTTCATCAGGTTTAATTGGCATATATCGTCGTCTCCATTGCGTTCCTGCTTTCAGTCTGCCGTCTTCCCGAGGCGCAAAGAAGAAACGAAGGAGAGGAAGAAGTCTTCCTGCTTTCGAGCAGCCTCTGCCTCTTCACCGATCACCAAATTTGATTCGCTGGAGAAGAAAAAATTGGAGTCCAGAACTCGATATGGCTGGTAAGAGGGGGATTTGGTTCGAGGGATGGAGGGTGAAGATTGAAGAAGCAGAGGAAAGAGATCAAGTTGATAGAAGAGGTTAGGGGAAGCAACAGTAGCTAAATTCTCTTCTCTTCCTTTTCTTTTTGAAATTTAGAATTGCTTCCCAAAGTACACTAGTTCTTCAAAAAATTCTCAAAATACATAAGTTATAAAAAAATTTCCAAAACTACACATGTTTGACATTCACCGGTTTTGACAAACGCAGTGAATATAATCACCGCGTTCGTCAAAAACGGTGAATATTTCACCGTTTTAAAATAAAACGATGACGTGTTCACCGTCTTTGTATAAAGCGGTGCCGTTTAAATTAAAAGCGGTGAAAACGTCACCGTTTTAGGACAAAGCGGGGAACATCTTCACCGCATCAGGCTAAGACGGTGATTATTTCCCACGTTTCCCAACCTTGGTAGGTGAAAATTAGGTCACAACTACCTAATGTTCACCGTTTGAGACAAACGCGGTGATGATGTTCACCGTTTTTGACAAAGGCTGTGAATATTAGCCGATTTTTCTATAAATACCACACCATCAGCAGTTGTAAAAACATAACCACTCCCCCCTCTTCAAATTTCAGCAACCAAAATCGAGCAACATACACAGAACAAGAATTTACGGTATGGTTTAATTTTTGTATTAATTCCTAATGGTTGTTTTTAGTAGTTATATTGTTATGTTATGAATTACTTATCGTAGCAAATATCGAGGGTTATGAATTACTGGAATTATGCTAATAGTTACTTATTGTAAATTGTAGATATTGAATGACAACCGCGCCTTTGAGGCGCGGTTTACGCGGGATGGTGGTAGATTTGGAAATTCTTGGGAATGGGTGGTATTTTTGGAAATTTTTTTTGAAATAGGGGTAAATTCAAGAAGTTTCAGCTTATTATTCGGTGGAATGGAAGGGTTACAAACTCTGATATCGAGATTGATTATGAGGACGGTGTATCCACTAAACTGAAAAATTGAGTCGCGATTCAATTTTCAAGAACTCTGTGATATTTGTGCATACAGGGTTTGTACGAGCGGACAGACGAGACTTGTTAAAATTAGTTACCGGTATCCATGTATGAGTACTGGCGGGCTTGTGTACCAAGAAGTTGTCATAAACGATGATGACGAGGTTACGATGATGTTACAGTTCCTAAGCGATAACGAGATGCGGCAAGCAGAGGTGTATGTTGAGACCGAGGCGGTCGGCGAAACTCATTCTCACCAGTATTCTTATGATGATGGTTTTGCATGAGGGTACGGATGGGGTGGTAGTTCGAGCAACTACGAAGGAGGTGGTTATACAGGAGGTTACGGAGAGGGTGGTAGTTCAATCAACTACGGTGGAGGTAGTAGTGCAGGATGGGTGCCATCGAAAGAATACTAGCAACAGGATCAACCTGCCGAGTGGCGTTCAATGGCCTGCTTGGGGGCCTGAGTTAGACTATCATCGCATTTCATTAAAACGGTGATATATTCACCGTTTTCCTCTAAAACGGTGATTGACTAGCTCGTTATTCACCATTTTAGAGAAGGACGGTGAATACGTCACCGTTTTTTCTTAAAACGGTGAATACGTCACCGTTTTTTTAAACGGTGAAATATTCACCGTCTTTGTCAAACGCGGTGATAGTCTTCACTGCGTTTGACAAAAACAGTGAATGCCAAACATGTGTACTTTGGGAAATTTTTTTAAGAACATGTGTACAGTGTGATTTTTTCCGGGGAGGGTTGGGTTCTGTGTTGGGATTGGGAATTGGGGGAAATTTGGAGGGTTGATGAAAGTGAAAAAGGAAATTTTGGGCGGGATGGCCAATTTTTTTGGAGCCAAAATAAAATTTCATTTTGTGTCGGTTGTGAGTGGTAACCAACACAATTCAAACATTCGTGTCGGTTCGAACAGACACAAATCGTTGTCGACATGAATAACCTAGTATAATTTTTTTTTAAAACATAGATTTCAATTTTGCGTCGGTTAGAATCGACAAAAAAAAAAAATAAACGACACTAAATGCCAAAAAAATGTTTTGGTTGTCAACCGGCACAAACTACCGACATGAATTCTAAATTTTGTGTCGGTTCACTTAATCGACACAACACAACCGACACTAAACATCTTTTTCTCTTGTAGGTGGATGATGAAGCATAACACGGCTTGTATACACCTGTATTGCTAGGTCGTGTCAATAGGTGTTCTCAAAACGTCAACGAAAGACTAGAGAGAGACAAGACGATTGGAGAGAACACCGATTGGTAACACGGCCGTGTCTCGTGCCCGTGTTTAACCTGTTATAAAAGATGTGAATTTCCTGCTCTCTCTCCATTCACGAATTTCATCTCTCAAAAACCCACCAAACGCTCTGTATGAGCAGAATTCGAAGGACATGATCAAGGAAGAAGGAGGAAGAAGGAAAAGGGAGGAAGAAATCGTCAGATTATCCCCCTGTTCCCTGGTAAGGCGGGATACCGATGAAAATCTCTCCAACTCGTCATTCCTCTCGACTTACAATCTTTCATACGTCTTAGGAAGGTAAGGATATTCGTCCCTAGTCGTTCCCACGTTCGTTTAAACAGCTAATAATTACTCTAGATTGTTTAATCTTGAAGTTGAAGGCGATTAACGATCTTTTGAGGAGTGGGACGAGTTGATTCATGGGGCCTTCGTTCTATTCGATTCATTGGGGTCTAGGCATGCTCTGGAGGTAAGGAAACACGGTTCCTTTCGAGTAAGTTTGGGGTTTCATACAAGTTTTTTTGTATTTACCAATGTTATTAAGACCGGATCGAGCCGGCCGGCCGGATTGCTAAAGCCTCCATCCGGCCACAAAACCAGCTCGGGCCAGTCATTTAGCCGCTACTATTTTATGGAGCGACCGGCGAGCGGCCAAGGCAGTTAACCACTCAAGCCGCTCAAACCGGTCGCTCGGTTTTCCCCTTCCGGCCGACCATTATATTTAATAAAAAATTTGAAAAAGAAAATCAAAAATTGAAAACCAAAGGCAAAATTGTTGGGCTGGGAAAGAAACCCTAACTCTAATTCAGTTTTCGTCTTCGACTCTTCGTGAACAGAGGGAGAAGAGCAGCGCCAGACCCTGCCACTATCAACACTTCCCGTATTGGCTTCCTGTCGGCATCGTAGCCATCCCCAGTTAGCGTAGCAGCTCCCACCTCGCCATCACTTCGAGTAGCAACTCCTCTGCTCTGTCATCACTTCCCGTCCCGGCACTTCCCCTCGCCATCCCCAATCCATGTAGCCGCTCCCGGCTTCCCGCTCTCATGTTTTGGAATTGTTAAGATTTAAGAGTGTAATTTACTAATTTAATCATGGTTTACCATGATTAAGAGGTGTCCACTATTTATACTGATTGTTTATTAGGTATCGGTTTTCTAATAGTTTTTAAACGGTTTAATGTCGGTTGGACCGCTAAAGACCGAGTCGATCACATTATCGGGTCATACTCTGGTTCGCTTTTGACAACATTGGTATTTACAAGTCAGCAATTCTAGTGACGAATTTTCTAGGTTTTTTCGTGACGAACAATAGTGGTCGCTAAAACATCAGAAATTCCAGAATATTGTTTTTAGTGATTTTTATTTATTTTGCACCCTTGTAGGCTCGGTGAATTTGGTTTAATAATTTTTTAAAGGAAAATTAGTATTTTTAATAATTATTTAGACGTGCATCTTAATTAGTTAAAATCTTATAAGGCGTTTTTGGAAATTGGATAATTTTCCTAGAGGTTAGTACTTCTGAACAATTAGGGAAAATTGTGAATTCAAACTTTCGGAAGGTTGGGCTTAGTCTAAAAATTTTCGAAGGAGAAATTATATAGGGAAAAGGGTTATTTTTCAAAAAGGTGGTATGGTTTATAGGGTATCAAGGTAGTACGTTGAGGAAGAGGTTCTTCAAGCTAATGGTCGGAGAATCATCTTTTTGAGGTGTGTGTAAAGGGGTAAAATCTCCGTCGAAGTCTTTTAGTTTATGCATTTACTTATAGTACTTTCGTTAATTTTACGAGTTATGCGCGATTATGTGTGTGAGGCATCCCACCGCCTACTTAAGGCGGAGGCACGCGTTGTGCTATGTATGTGTATGTTTGTGATGTATGGATGTTTGTAAGATGAAGCCATGGGCGGTTGGGCCACTATTGGATGCTGAGGAGGGTCAGGTCACTACTGGACGACGATACGTAACATAGTAGTTGACCAGGCATGGACGATACGTAATGCGGTAGACCCTAGTAAACTTTTATAAGTTATTAAGGACTAAAGTATTAAGGATGAAAGCAAGAACGACTTTAATGTAAGAGGAACAAATTTCTAATAATATGTTAGTAAAGGTTTGCTTAGGCAAAGACCTTAGAAAGTAATGACGAGACAGACCCCTTCTCACTCACTAGGTGTGGAAAGGGGAAGAGGACGTAACCAGCACGAGGAGGGTAATCAAGGAGGTTAGCCGCGTCAAGCTTGAAGATTTCTAAAGGATCGGGGTAATGAGATAGGACCCCTCTTGTCATAATGGTCTTTACTTCATGTCTTATGAGTATAATGAGAAACTCAAGGTTTATGAATAAGTGTTTTGGTTTGAGATTTGCCCAAATGTTTTGGGCTTTTGTTTGAGATTTCTTAATATTACAGTGTGATGGTTTTTTATTTGACTTTAAAGTGTGGTTTGGGTTGCTCCGGAGTAACCGGTTTTTGGTTTAAGTTATGGCTTGGTTTTCAAAAAAGGTCGGGTTATTTTAGTTATTTCGCATTGTCCTCCAAACAACCTTAAAACCCGATCGACTAAATAACGACAGAAAGTAGCCTGGATAGCGAGACCCGTGGAATACGATCTTGGTCAACCACCACTACAAGAAACAACACTTACTGACACAAATTCCTAGCCACGGTTATTTCAATTGTGGCTGGTATACTAAAATAGCCACGAACGTTATTATCATGAAGCTAACCATAACTTAATTATATTCTAGAGTTACAAATGAAATATTGCGAAGCTAAAAAATGTTTATAGTTTTGAGGCATAAGTGTTGTGGCAATAATGAGT